TGTGTGTGTGTGTGTGTGAGAGAGAGAGAGAGAGAGAGAGAGAGAGAGATTAAGTGAAAAATATCCAGAAATAAGCAATTCATAAGTTTTTTTTAAAATATATTTTTTATTGCTTTCAGAGAGGAAGGGAGAGAGAGATAGAAACATCAACAATGAGAGAGAATCATTGATTGGCTGCCTCTTGTATGCCCCCCACTGGGGACCGAGCCCGCAACCCAGGCATGTGCCCTTGACTGGAATTGAACCTGGGGCCCTTTGGTCCGCAGGCCGATGCTCTATCCACTGAGCCAAACCAGCTAGGGCACAATTCATAAGTTTTAAATTGCATGCCATTCTGGGTAGTGTGATGAAATCTCTGGCCGTCCTGCTTCATCCCACTTGGGATGTGAACCATCCCTTTGTCCAGCATATCTATGCTCTATCTGATACCTACCTATTAGTCACTTAGTAGCCATCTCAGTTATCAGATCTATTGTCATGATATCACAATGCCTGTGTTCAAGTAGTCCTTATTTTACTTAATAGCCCCAAAGCACAAGAGCGTGGTGTGGACAATTTGGATATGCCAAAGAGAAGCCACAAGGTGTATGCATGTTTAGGAAAAATCTCAATATGTATAGAGTTTGGTACTATCCAAAGTAGCAGGCATCCACTGGGGGTCTTGGAACATTTCTCCCTTGGATAAGGGAGGACTATTTGATGCAGATATAATACATAGGACAAGTAAGGCAGAAAGAATGGAGAAGGGGTAAATGGTATGTGGTTGCAGTTCCCACATTTTATGTGACATAGTAAAATATGAATTCTAAGTAGACTGTATATTTAAGAGTGTAGGATGGCCCCACTGGTGTGGCTCAGTGGTTGAGCACTGACCCATGAACCAAGAGGTCACAGGTTCGATTTCTAGTCAGAGCACATGCCTGGGGGCTCGATCCAGAAGGGGGTATGCAGGAGGCAGCTAACCTATGTTTCTCTCTCATTGATGTTTCTATCTCTCTATCCTTCTCCCTTCCTCTCTCTCTCTCTAAAAAATCAATAAAAACATATTTTTTAAAATGTATGATGGACACAGGGTGCAAATTTGAATAAATGTCTCTAGGTATTTTAAAATATTTGTCTCTGTGCATTTCTTACTTGCCATTCATCCTTGTATTCTGAAACTGTCTAGCAAAGAGTAGCTGTTGATAAATGTGGCCTGAATATATGATTGAATATCCATAACTTAGCCTCTCAGCATTATAGTTTAATTCATATTGGGAAATCAGAGCAATCTTGACCTTAATCGTATACTCAAATAATTCCTTATGTTTAGAGTTAAAACAAGAAAACCCACATGTTAAAAGTTAGTAGTTTTGAAAAATGATACATTAGGTACTTCAAAAATTGGGTAGCATCTGAATCTACTGACCAAGGCCAAGGTAACTCCAAATAACATGTAACTGGGTTAAATATGAATGTATTTAAAGGAACTTTCCAGGACAACTTGCCTGTTCAAACTCCTCCATGTCTACTTCTCCATCTCCATTCAAGTCGAACATCTTGAAGGCAATTTCAAAATTTCTCTGAGGAGCTGCAAGTAGAAAGGAAGAAAGGAAGGATAGAAAGGAAGAAGAGAGAGAGGGAGGAAAAAGAAAAATATTTTAGATGGCATTGACAAAAAAAAAAATCAGTCCTTTAAGAAAAACAGATGAACACTAAAAAATAATATCAAGTCATAGAATACCAACGTATTTATCTAGATCAACCTTTTTGTGATACTCCTTAAAACCAAAAGAGAATTTTAGCATAGCCAGTAAAGACAGCACTTGTCTATCTTTGTGTTTCAATATTCTCTTAAATACGTCTACTTTGCTTTCTTAGACACAATCCTCTTAGCTGTGTAATACTAATGTTGTTGCTCTGTTACTTAAATATAGTATCATTTGCCTGGGCATGAACGTCTGTCTGGAGTGAGACATACTGCTGCAAAGAAGTTGAAACGCTCTTTGTCTTGCTTTCTAGCCTCTCCATTTTAAGTACAAGGAGAAGTTCAGTGGATGTCATTATGCCAACAGGTTATTATCTGTACCACTTTACTCATTATCACGATAGCTCTGTGGTAAGGCAGAAAAATACTGTATACTGTTAGCTGTTCAGCCCCCTATTTCAACCATGTCAGCTGGGTATACAAATTACTGAGTAAAATATACTTAAATGTTAAATTTATGCTAAACTTTAGATCCTGAAAATATGGTATATTTTCTTTCCCTTAAGTGAATGATGAAAGCTCTTGAAGACTTTCTTATTGTTCCTAGATCAATGAAAACATAATGTACTGTTGCATTAGAATAATATGTAAATACAACAGCCCTCTTTCCTCACCATGCTAAATGTTCTGATAGCCCTAGCCAGGTTGCTCAATGGTTAGAGCGTTGGCCTGCAGACTGAAGAGTCGCGAGTTTGATTTGGGTCAAGGGTATGTAACTTGGTTGCAGGCTTAATACCCAACCACTTACAGGAGGCAACCAATCCATGTATCTCTCATATGTTGATGTTTCCCCTTTCTCTGTCTCTTCCCCTCCCTTCCATTCACTCTAAAAAAAAAAAAAAAATCAATGGAAAAATATCCTTGGGTAAAGATTAACAACAACAAAAAATGTTCTGATAAAGAAAACTTCCTTTGGTGCTTCAAATTTATACAGCTGTAGTGAACAAACCAAAATAAAATATCCTCATACTATTGAAGTAAATTTTTAGCTAATATAACTTTCACTAAAAAAAATTTAAAGATTATATGTAGACAAAAAAAGTGAAAAAGAGCTTAGGACATTATGCATAGTTGTAGAAAGTCCACATTCCCATCTTAGTTAGGAATTTGTCAACAGAAAATTGAACTTCTAGTCTTAAATTCCAGTTTCAGCTCGATAGCCAGCGAGGGTGGCAAGCTCCTGGTTTTTAGTTCCATGGGTAAATGATGTGCCTGTCCACTTCCAATTGCCTGCCTCACCTGATAATGGCCTGCAACTGGTTTGCTCTTCTTTAGGCCACAAGTACAATTACTAAGAAGGATGCAGCCGGGGAATTAGATTTTTATATTATTCACTGCTGCCTCTTAAATTTTCCCTACCTGTCTAGATGCTATCCTTTACTGAAGAGTTACTATGTGCCAAACACTGAGCTGGAAAATTTAAAGCGGTTGAGAATCTGATACTGCACTCTCAATCCTGCAAGGCTTTATTTCTTTATATTTTAGTTAGAGGAGGAAATTGTGTTCAAAATCATACAGCAAATACGTGACGGAATTGGCAAGTGAACCTAGGTCAAGGCTGACTCCAAAGCCCATAATGCTCCCCGGCTTCCAATATGAAGGAAGACAGTAGTACTTATAATAACCAACTCACTGTTTATTCTGATATATTCTGACTTAGAAAAAAACAACAAACGTGACTCACTGGTTACATCAGTCTCTGCAACAGCTGAGAGTTACAAGTTGTTCATTTCAAAGACATACCTGATATCAAAGAAACACTGCATATGCCATGCTCAGCAGTTTAGACTTGGCTGCACTAACTGGAGACCTATAGGCAACATTAGATTCTCAGACAGGACTGTCAAATGTTTTAAAAAATTCTGAATATGAATTTCTTTAGAGAGGAATACACTCTCCTATTCTCCCCACTGTCTCACATTTGGCCCACTTCACTCACACACATTATCTGCTTACTCCTTGCAGATACCTGAGACTATAATAACTGCAAACAATACGAAGCCACTGAAAGTTTTAAGCAGAGGCGTGACACAATCAAGCAGGCAGTTATGAAGGACTTCTCTGGCTACAGTGAAGGATGAGTTGGAAAACAAGAGCCATCTGCAGAGAAGACCATTGAAGGTCTTATAAATGTTAAAAATAGGCTTGAGCTGATGGCAATGGTAGTAGAGAGGAGAAAACAAATTTGAAATAGCAAGGCAGAAATTATACAACTTGATTATAATCAGCTATGATGAGTTGAGAGTGAAAAGGGATGAGGGCATGACTGGCTTAGGCTACTGGGTAGCTTGCACATCATTAACCAAGAGATACAAGACTTAGAAAAAAACAACAAAGGTTTGAGAAATAAAATGAGTTCAGATCAGACCTGCTGAATTCAAGGGGTCAACAGCATATTCAGATGAAAATGTTCAGAACGTAGTTAGAAGAGAGGGATTAAAGCTGAGAGTCATTAGCATAAGTGTGGTGAACTGCAAAGAGCCTGTAGTGGAGTTGCCCAAGGAGGACTGAAGGTTGAGGAGGATAAAGAAAGGGTAGAACGCAGTTGAAAGAGAACAGAAAGGAAGGAGTGACAGAGGAGGTGGCATCACAACATCAGGAGGAATACAGTCCAAATGAATAGAAATGGAAAAAATTTGGCAAGAGCCAGTCAGTATGTTGCTACCTATGAATTAAAGCAGCATTTTCATTCCTATCTCCACTAATTACAGAGGCTACACAGAGTACTTAAAATTTTAGCTTTATCATAATTGTCCTATTAGTTCTGTGAAGGCATGTGCCCGTATCATTTAAATGACTGAATGAGTTACTCTAGCAAATCATAGTTCATATGTCCTCTTACAATTAGTATACAATTCAGTTTACCAAACAAAGCGCACCCTGGACTGCTTTAGGTTTCTTTATCTTTTTATCCTGGCTTAACTACTTTCAAACAGAGTATTTGCTTTATGTGGAGCTACTCAGAGTGTTTAGTAAAGTGCATGTGCTGACATTCTAGAGGCTGAGCCCTATGCACTGGTCACTGATAAGGCAAGTCAAGGCAGCAGCTTGCACCTTCTCATTTAGGCTTTACCCGGCCATCAGGGAACGTCCTTCTTTCCAGTGTAGTTCTCTCAGCCTATTCAGTCTTTATCTGCTGATCATGTCCAAGTATTTAAGATAAACAAGCAAAAAATCAGCTTGCTTTAAGTGAAATATGCTGCACAGGAATATCCCGTTAGGCAATTCTCTTGAACTTCCCAGTCTCCTCTTAAATGGAGGCTTCAGAATAATTCTGAAATCCAGCTGTTCTGGAAAGCTTTCCGGTGCCTTGTGTATACACTAACAACCTATTTCCATAGAAAGGTACTGAGAAAGGAATTCTGTTGAATCCCAGGCTACTTACAGAGAGAACAGTGAAGCTTTCCCCTCCCCGTGTTAACAACATATCTACCTCTATGCAGTGATCCCAAAATGATCGTAACCTATGTAAGAACTGATTAAAACAATAAAATTCCATGCAAAGTTCATTACTATACAGCTTTTACTCAGAATTCCACAACAATCTTTGCTACAGGAAATGGAGATACAATAGGGTCTGTTCTAGTTAAGTATCATTTTTATATTACTCTATAGTAACAATAACAACTCTAGACTGTTCTTTGAAGCACAGATTTTTCTACTTTGCTCTTTAATAGAAAATGCAGAGTAGGACTCTAATTTTGGCTCTTCCAACAATATAATGAGTCATTATGTCTTAAATTCTTTTTTGGTAGTACTGATAGAATGAATAGGTTAGCCCTGGCCAGTGTGGCTCAGTTGGCACCAAAAGGTCAAGGTTCAATTCCTTGTCAGGGCACATACCTAGGTTGCTGATTAAATCCCCAGTCCGGGTCAGGGCAAGTGTGGGAGGCAGCCGATTGATGTTTCTCTCTCACATCTCTCTCTCTCTCCCCCTCCCTGTCTCTCTAAAAATCAATGAAAATGTCCTCAAGTGAGGATTTTTAAAAAAAAGAGGATAGGTTAGATTCTTATTTTCTGTTGGTTAGATGCTCCCAATGATGGGGGGGGGGGACTTATAATCTGATAGATAGAGCATCTGAATTAATCTGAAAGATAGTCATATTATTTTGAAATTCTGAAATACATATACGTATAGGAATAGAGGGTTAAGTTTCGTATATGGGAACAGAGGGTTAAGTTTTTCTCTTTTCTAAGTTTCATTTCTCAGGCTGGTGCACTTGCGTACTCCCTTTAATCATGAGCAAAGTGATTGAGGAGGTGATTCATTTCTGGACAATGTACACTGTACCCAGCAAGCAAGCAGAACTGTTAAGCATGGTCAGGCCAACACCACAGGAGCCAAGACATCATCTCATCGCCTGACAACCAAGAACAATAGTTGAATTCTGCTACCCCCCGAGGACTGAATGTAACTGTATTCTGTTCCCAACCTCACCCCAGTCCATTTTCCCTATATAATCTTGTCCCGTGCACCTTGCTGTAAGACAGGTTTTGGATGCTTGTAAGCTCCCTGTCTTCTTGTTTGGCTGGCCCTCTCAATGAATGCTTTATATGAGCCAACCCTGCCTCCATTATGGGACATTTCGAAGGCAGCCCGAGCCCACCTGGGGGTTTCCCGGTAACACCATCACAGAATTCCTACCTGCACCATTCCTGTTTTAAAATGATGCTATAGGACAAATGAGGTAATTAATATGCAATATCAGAGAACTCTGAATTAGGAAAATACTTTAGAACATAATGAACTTCTAGTCAATGATCAACCTCACTACTGAATTTCTAAGGATGATCACATTGCCTTTGATTATTTCTAAGAGGAA